CTCGAAAAACATCCATGGTTTCGCATTCATGGCCATTCAGAGGCTATCTGTACCCTCCAATAGTCAAACATGGTTTGCTGGAAAATCCCCCATTCATTTCGTTGATTTTCCCAGCTTTGAACTTTAAACTTCCATTTATAGGGATTGTCAATTGCCATGTTTGATGCATGACCCATATTCCCTCAAATGTTCATTCATATCCGACAAGTATCAACTATTATATGCCATTATCATATCCTATCTGGGAAAATAATCATATTTCACTAACCTGAATTGTTGCAGCCACAAAAGGGGATGATTTCCCTAACATAACCATGATTCCAGGGTTCGGGAGAACAGGGTTCAGCCTCGGCCACGGAAGACCAGACGCTTCACCAACTGCTGTGGCTGCCGCTCGGAAGTTTTTTCCACCTGCGATCCAGGTAGAGAACCAACAGAATTTGAGAATCCACTGGGATATTGGGAAGATATCTGGGGATATAACCAATAAATACCAATAACCCATGGAAAACATCAGGATTTGAGCAAGTTGATTTGAGATCGCTGTGGAAAACCGATGCTTTTCTGAGGATTTGGTGATCTATGAATGCTGGATCTGCCATAGTTATTGATGTTTACTTACAGAGTATAAACAGTAGGTTAAGTTGGATAATCCCTTCCCCCTGATACTAAACCCCAGCCCCCAATTAATAAACACCTTAGGTAGTTTTTATTACTAGGGGCTATTTATTATTAGGGTGCGAAGCTTCCCCCTAATACTAAATTTAAAACCCTAACATTAATGTGTTTTTTCTATTTAAAATTGATTAGATTTCCTTTTAAACTCTAATTAAATATTGCCAAAAATTGGATTTCGAAGCTTCCCCCTAATACTAAATTGAAAACCCTAACATTAAAAAAACTATTTTTTCTATTTAAAATCGATTAGATTTCCTTTTAAAATCTAACTATATAAAATATTGCAAAAAAATTGGATATCAAAGCTTTCCCCTAATATTAAATTAAAACATTAATACAAAATACTTTTGTGTTCGACCTTAAAAGACGGACCCTAATAAAAAAACACCCCGGGGTTGACTAGTTTTATTAGGGGGTGAAACCATGAAATGGTAGCTTCATCTTTAAATTGTTTTCTAAAGGGGATCAATCAAAAATCAAATTGGCCAACCTGAAATTTTCCAAAATTGGAGACGGACCCTACAATGTGGGGCCCCCAGTTATAAGTTTGTTTATAAACCCCATTAACTATAGTTATAAGTACCATAAATCATAGATATTGGAGTTATAAACCAACTTACTATCTTGGGGGCCCCACATTGTAGCTTTTATTATTTGGGGTGGGTAGTATATAATAGGGGGAAGGGATTGATCCAATAAATCTATCCAAGATTGGGAGAAAAAACCTCGCTACCCAGGGCGTTCCTTTAAAACCAATTCCACCAAAAGTTCCCAAAAAACTCAGTTACCCGTGAAGTTACTTGAAACCCCAAGTCCCCCAGAAGTTCCACAACACATCAGTTACCCTGTGAAGTTAGTTTAACACCCCAAGCCCCCCAAAAGTTCCCAAAAAACTCAGTTACCCATGAAGTTACTTGAACCAATTCACCAAAGAAAGTCACCCCAAAAAATCAGTTACCCCGTGAAGTTACTTAAAACCCCAAGTCCCCCAAAAGTTCCCAAACAAATCAGTTACAACGTGAAGTTGCTTAACACCAATTCCCGCAACTGATTTGCAAGATGTTTGGGGGGAATTGGTTTAAAGTAGCTTCCCGAGTAACTGATTTTGGGGGAACTTTTGCGGGAATCGGTTTTAAGTAACTTCACGGGGTAACTGATTCTCGGGGGAACTTTTGGGGAAAATGGTTTTAAGTGGGAACTTTTGGGGGAATTGGTTTTAAGTAACTTCACGGGGTACCTGATTTTTAAGGAACTTTTGAGGGAATTGGTGTTAAGTAACTTCATGGCGTAACCGATTTTTCGGGAACTGTTGGAAGAATTGTTTTAAAGCAACTTCAGGGCGTGATTTTTTTAATGGAGCGAATTTCTGAAGGCATTTGCTTTGAGCAACTTCACGGGGTACCTGATTTTCTGGAACTTTTTGGGGAATTGGTTCTCGGTAACTTCACGGGCCTCAAAAGATCCACCAAAAATCAGTTTTCCCGTGAAGGTACTTAAAACCCATTCCCCCATGAGTTGGAAATCTTACCAACCAAGATCTGGGTCTGTGGGTTTTTATAGGTCGGAATCTTGGGGGGCCAGATATCAAGCACCAAGAAAATTGGGATCCATGGGATGTTGAGGTGCTTCTCGAAATCGCCCTCTTTCTAGGCCTACAGAAATAAACTCAGGATGACTCAGATCATTTGGGTTGAGGTTTCACCCATAAATGTTTGGAGGGAGGAGATTGCACTGCCACTGGCTCCTCTGAAAATGACTAGAGACTCACCTGCTAGCTGCTAGAGGTTGTTCTGTGATCAACCGTGTCTTCCATCATTTTGTTGTGACAAAATGTTCAGGGCGCCAGGATGCGTGAAGTGGGGGAGCCATAACCAAGATGGCAAAAGACAGCCATTCATCCATTTGAAGCGCCCAAATCTCTGAATTGGTTTTATTCTCATGATTGGTTATGAATGATTATTATAGTTGGTCGTTCCCATGATTGGTTAATTCATACCATTCCCACGAAAGCCATTCAGTTGGTTATAATCCCATGATTGGTAGGGACGGATATACGTTTAGAGGATATGTCCTGGCTGTTGTAGTTGGCAATGCGTTCCGAGAAGTGCTGGCATGTTGTCTACAGCCCCACCTATGAGGAGTGTAATTTCCCATGTACTATACATCATATAATAACATATAATATAATTCGATCTAGTTCGCAAGTCTCTCTTGTGTATGTTTGCTTAGAAATTGGATGGCCATCCCACTTGAGAATTTTCCAGGTTTGGTTTGACAATGGTTGCAACCATGGTAATCCTAGAACCCGACACTCAAATTCCAACGAGCCCCAGCCCCCAAGCGCCTCTCTTATGCTCTTCAGGGCGAGTTGTTCACGGCTACTTATCACCTGGCCATGGGCTTCGAAGATTGCAGCAACCCCCAAAGAGATATATAAAAGCACACTCTCACTGGAACAATGATATGCACTTTTTCTTTAGGAAATTCCACCAACAGATTTAAAACAATAGTGTATAAACATGTAAAAACCAGTGACTTAAATTTAAAAAAAAAGGTTCTAAAACCCTTTTGGGATCACCATGAAGCTTCCCCTCCACCAAGCTGCCGCAAAGTCCACATCCAGCGTGCCGCTGTTGGAGGTCACCCAGGAAGGGAGCAGCCGCGCGGAGCAGTCGCTCAAACGCACAGTCACTTTGGCCCGCTCCTGGCATCGCCCCATACGCTGCCCCACTTCAGTAAATGGTGAGAAAAAACCAGCAAAAATGGGATTTAATCATATTTAATCAAGAAATATGGGGATCTATACTTGATTTATGTTAGCGCAGTTGGTTTATCACTCCAATTTCACGTGGGTTTATGATACATATATCGAACCAGCTCATGGGGGTTATCAACCAACAAACATAACTCGGGGAGCACCACCTTGTATATTCTGGGGGTATCATCGGACATAACTAACCAACTATAATGGGGATTAAACTGGGGATATGTACTTGTATATATACTACTGGGGACATGGAGTTTCAGATCCATTATGGTGTGTTGGATAGATATGGACCATTACACCATTTCATGCAATTGAATATGATAAAATCGCATGAAATTCCGGAAAAAAAATGTGCACATGCCATATGTTGGATATATCATATGCTAAGGGAGAAATTGTCAAATGAGTTGCACCATATCTAACCATAACCAAACTGCCCTGGGATGCAACGTGTTCATTCAAGAGCTTGGTCAATCAGTTTTGATGTCCATTTCTGGTCCCAGAAACTCAGAAAGATCACCAGGTCTTGTTGGTTGCCAAATGCCTGGTTGGTTCAATGCCAAATGCCTGGGAATCAAACTTTGCTGGAAAATTCCCCATTTCTATCCATTTCTTCTTTTTTTCGATGCGTTTCCATTCAAACGCCCATTTAGTTCGGGATTTCCCAGCGCCCCATCCCTGCCCCCCCGGCGCGCACCGGGACAAGCTCGTTGGAACCTCAGCAACGATGTGACAGTTCATGGCGAATTTATCTTAGATACAAGCGACCCTGCAATTCTTTAAAGCAGGTAAGTAGATATCCCCATTTATACATAGCAAAAGATTAAAGTACAAATCATGTTGCTAAAGCTGCTAAGTGTCCATCAAAGATCGACCCAGAGTTCTGTAGAGTTCGTATTTCCGCCCAGCAGTTTGGCTGTTGGATTCAGAGAAATTCTGGGCTGGGTTTTGGTTTTTTGACACACTTGGACCGCTTGAAGAAGCCTTCATGAGTGGTTGTGGTTATTTCAGCCTTGGTAGTGAAGATTGCACACGTAGAAACCAGGAAGAAAGTATTTGGAAATGCTCACTCAAGATTTCAAGTAGTCACAGGATTTCAAGTAGTCAAAATCCAACAGTGCTGCCCACCTCTCCCCTGCTATCTGGGCACCATGTGCATACCAGCAGTCTTCGTATTCACAAGTGCCGTTGCGGGCAAAGCGAGGGCCTCTGGAGTTGATGTGGCTTTCTGGAGTACATCAGCTACAGTGGAGTAAAAAGCGCCATGCCCGGTATCCAGAAAAATCATGACTTACAGGTCACGAAGAGGTCACTAAGAGGTCACTTACAGCTGGTGTGATCCGGTGTTTCCGGTTGAATCCGTGGCGATCCCCATGGAGAAGTCCCACGTCAATGCTCAACCCCCGCCTAAAAGGGCCTGGATTCTCCCCTTTTGCTAGTCCAAGCATATCCCATCTTCAAATCTGTTCAAGATATGTTCATGAAGATCTTTACATACCTTTGGGTGGACAAACGAAACATAAATATGGGTGTCTGAAAATAGGGTATCCGCCCGATTATGGCCATAGCTATTCAGGAAAAGGCTTTCTATCCAAACAAGTGGGCAATTTTCAGAAAAGTGGATTCGTTCACGAAATGTTCAGCTACAGTACCCCCAACAAAATATACAAAATCCCCATACAAAAATCTTGATGCTGAAATCATGTCAAATCCACCATTTGGGTGTGTCTGAAAATAGGATACCCCATTCCATCCCCAGATTTATCATCATCTTCCCTATGAAATAGCCCTAAATTATGGGTACCCTCTGGTAGACTGACAGTAGTTCGATATGGAAAATCACCATTTTTAATGGCTAAATCATCTATATATTTCTCTTTGATCATATTCCATTGCTATGAATCATCTATGGGGTTTTAAATGGGAAAATAATCTACAAATAGGGTATGTTCTATTTCTACGATTACCAGAGGGTAGACCTATTAATCATCATTTACCTATTAATCATTTTACCAATTAATCATAGTTCCCCATGTAATCATCCTTGGCCCATAAATTGTGGCTAGACCTCATTTTCAGACCCCTTTCCTTGCCACGTCGCAGAGTTCTGTCTTTCGCCTCATCTGGCGCGTGATGTCAACATTCTTCACCGCCCCGCAGCACATCCACAGGCGGCCCCGGTCCCGGTCCGAGCGCCACAGAAGGGCCAGGTGACCTACCTTCCACGCTTCGATACGCTTCGATACGCCGGGGGGCCGAAGTGTGGAGCCAGGAAAATTGGGAATTGAACCATCGAAATTCGGGACCAATGGGAGTTAACCATGAGAAACAGGGATATATATATATATATATGCGGTATTTAAGCATCAACAATTGTTGTTTTTTTTGCCGATAAAAAGAGAGATTCAGCCAATGGATCATGATCCACTGGATATGTTGGCGTGTCTGAAAATGGGGACACTTATGAGAAACCAATGGATTGTGGAGTTGTCCCATGATTTTCAGAAGCCAAAAGGCGTGCGTCGCGTTATCAACCTATCCATGTTGCATCGCTTTTTCACCATACCCTCTGTGTGGAAACCAGTTTTGGTGTATCCAAAAGAATGGCATCTTATGTTATATGATTTTTTGGACCATGCACATGTTGGGATGAACGGGGCCATCTGACCGATACCTATTGTTTGGTTTCGGCGTGTGTTGGTTTCACCCCGATCTCTGCTGTTTCATTACTGATTCATTACCAACGTTGTTACTTTGATGCAAATCCTCCGGCAACCAAAGCAACGGATGCTGCGGGTACTCCTCATTCCTAGATGAGTTTCCCATGAAATGTTCCCATTTCCCCGGGACATCAAGTTTTCCCCATCACACCTGGCCTGCAGCTTGGTCAGGCCCCGCAGGCCGCGGTAGCTGCTGGGGACCGTGACATAAACTTCATATCCTTCGGATCTATTGCCTTGCAATGTGGCGCCACTAGCAGTACCCAATGGATGATTTTTCAAATCCCCAAATTCTGGGCTTACTGAGCTGAAATCCCACATGGCTTTTGAATGGCTTTTCACCCCATTTCTCCGTGGAAAAGTGCGGAAGATCCCCAGAGGAAGGCTAAATGTTCCCAGTTGTAACGCTTGCGGGGCCACCTTTGTGTCTCACAAGTGGGTGTTCAATCCATGTTTTTGAAAGATATTATCCTGAAAGCTAGGATTCATGGGTGATGAGTTGCTGAAGAACAAAAAATTGGATAAATGTTTAAACAAATAAACAAATGAAAACGGAGGGTTAAGAGTCTGAAAAGTTGCGACACAGATTTCAATGTTGACATCAGGAGTCACCCTCAGCACCCCTTCCCGCTGCCTACAAAGCAAAAATTATTCTCGAGTTCCTCATATGAGGCCGTCATATGATAAGGAGCCTGGCAGGAGAAACACTGGGAGAAGCACCATCCCCACCATGAAGAGATCTTGATTTTCATGATGTTCTCATCTCTTTTTATGCCACGTTTTTTCTCCAAAACTCATCCAATGGGTTCATGAGCCAAGTAGATCTTGGAGAGTCCGCAGCAGATCAGAAGATGCATGCGTCATATTTGCCATGGTCAAAATAGGATATATGTCATATGTCGTATGTCATCCATCCCAGAAGGGGAATCCTGTAACCAATCGGGTTTGATATATCTCGATTCATGGATTGATGACCATCCCCTACATAACCAAATCAACCGAGTTTTGACCATTTAACGTACGGGTCTGAGAAGGAGGGATTTACCCCCAATATATGATCATTAACTAATAGGGAACATGTTGTTCAAAAACATCACAGGTTGTCTTGTTTTTGTCTCCCTAAAATTTCAGACAGCCACAAATGGCAATGTCATGTGTCATATGTTTGACGCTTGCAACCCAAAATTGATGGCTAATACAGGCTTTTAAACATGCCAATACACCCATGAGTGGCCTAAGATGCCCATTCCATACCAAATATCGTCTGCTTATAGCTTGCCATGATCTCCCAATGCCCAGTCCCCATGGTTGGCTCAATGGTACCAGATCCCAAAAAACCAAAATCCCACGTTGCCTTTGCCCTCATCTGGGGCATCAGAGCTGCTGCACACATCTGCGCTTGGCGCACCTCGCCAAGTCCGGTCGTGGCAGGACCCACAACGCCAAGGATGCCCCCTCCGTTGGTAAAAAGAGCCCACCAACTCGTGGTTGTTTTGAACTCGGGTGAAAACCCACCAACTCACAAAGATGGAAGTTCCCCTGATTCATGGACCGCCAACTCATGGGATAAGATTGAATAAAAACTCAGGCCTGCTGCCAGGTGGATCCCCACAAGCCCCCCGCGCGGTGCATCTCGCGGGCTTTGCGCAGGTCAGGCACCGGCCCAAAGACTTCCTTGAAAGCTGACGGAAAAACCAGCAAACAGATGGGAATAAACTGGTCATCTGGATATGAATTGGGATATAATGGCTTTATGTGGACATGTTTTACCAACCATAACTGGGGACATTCTATAGCAGCGCCAGGCAGTTTGTGCTTGGATGGTTTGGGACGGGATCCTGAACCGTGAACAATGTAGATATTGACTTTCTTGAGTCCAATATTGATTTTTATTCATGGCGAACCCACTGGTTTTGGAGTACCCACTGTGCATCGGTCAAATATTGGGACCCACCGACTGGCCCACAACCTTCGTTTTCTTTGAGCTTTGACCATCCCATTTTCAGCGTACATTTAATAACTTGGCCCATCCCCGTGGTTCGGATCGGAAGCCATCCGCCCCTTCACACCGAAAGACAGGATGTTGGCGCGGGAGCACGGCATGCCGAAATTTCCGCCTTAGCATGACCAATGGAGCAAGTCCCCAGAGGGGGGATTGGGTCATGAGCAGAACCCAAGAAAAGGGCATCCATCCAAGTTGCAATGGGAAAGGCGCCCTTTTCAAAGCTGTTTTTGAGGCATCTCCCGCTCCAAAAGGCTCCCCCGACATGGAGTCGTCTCAAAATCTGCAACCCCGAAATTCGCATGATTTATCATGTGTCCCATGAAAATCACCATATAGATTGAAGGAAAAATGTTTGCCTTCGTAAGGACAACCCCAGAAAAATGGACGCTTAATCTCTTAACTAATATCCCTATGGAATCCCCAAATTTTCCCATGGTTCAATGGCCATAAAACCCGTCCTGATCTCTTGTTGCAGGCTACGATCCGTCGCGGAAGTCCAAGAATAGCGCGGAAGCGCAGAGGCGATACAAGGAGACCTAAGATATGGAGGATCATGAAGATTTATGGGATGATACATGGGGATATTAGCCACCATTTTAAAACACATCAATGAGAAAAAACCTGGAATTTGTATGGGAAACTCTACCAGATATGTATGGTTTTTGCTAGCAATGTCAATGGGAGCGGCTAGAGCTGGAATAAACTAACTTAAAACCAGGGGAGAGCCAATCCAAAGGGCCTTGACCCACCAAACATGTTCAAACTATATCAAACTATGGACATATGGGGATCATCAACCAGCAAACATGGGGATATTCACCATCAATGATGGGTGTTCTGCAAACAAAAAATCCGGCAATAAGCAACCAAGATTGCGATACAACCAAGACTCATGTTGATAGTTCGTTACTGTGGATGTCTGCAACCCATAGTTCAATAGAATAATCTGAGGGCTCTTGAAGAAGTCGCACGGATGCCCGAAGTCAGAGTTGCGTCCAGATGGAGAGGATCACCTACTTATTGACCCAAGTAATGTGGTGAATCCAAGAGAAAACCATTCACGATTCTACCAGAAATGGGTGGGCTTGAAACCGTCCCTGTTGGAGGTCTGTCATGAAAATTGAGGATGTCATTGGGATTTTCAAATTGCATGGAAATGGATGCTGGAACTCTCAGTAACCAGCATGGATTGATGGGTCACTGGGTCACAGAGTCAATTTGCATCCCATGAACGAAGATCTTTTCAGCATCATCGTCAATGGTGTGTTGATTCAACAGCCAAAGGGGATCCGGAAGAGGTTCTCGTGGTCGCCAAAAGTCGGAAAATGTTTGTGGGATATGATGACCCATTAATCGGTAACTTCCGGTGAATGGCAGGAAACCCTAGCAGTCCCACAAGTCGGGATGCAGAGGGTTTGGAGTCGGTCAACAGACAATGAAGTCACCGAGAGAAAGATCAATCATCTAGACCACAGGAACGACCAAGAACAAATGTCTCACATGTAAATTTGGACTTGCTTGGGAACCCCCCAAAAAATAAGGCATTACACCGGCAAGAGACCCCAAACATTGGGGGGGTAGGAAGTCAATGTACCAGATATTACAAGTCCTTGTGGAAAGCTCTTGTGGAGATCCTCGTGAAATGCCGTCAGAGGCCTTTGCAGGATCTTGTTCAGGTCCCTGAGAAGCTCTTGACGAGGTCTTGGTGAAATCCTCTAGGTGTCCTTACAAGCTCTCGTAGAGGTCCTGGTGACTTGCGGAGATCCGATTGAAATCCTCCTCAGGAGGTCCTTGCATGAAGCTCTTGCAGATCCTCTGCGTTGGTGCTTGTATTAAAGTTTTTCTGGGATGCCCGTGGGAAGTTCTTCTATGAAGATCTCGTGAGCTCCTGTTCCATAGCTCCTTAAAGGACCTCCTGCTGCTGCTGGAGCGGATCGTACAAGACCTGGATACAAGAACCTCCCAAGAGCCTCCACAAGAGCTTTGAGACAAGGACCTCTTAGAAAGGATCGCACCAGGATGTCTACAAGATCTTCTGTAAAAAGGACCTGAACAGGGACTCTTAGACAGGAATCTAGCAGGATCTCCACAAGAGCCCGTTCATGTGAGAATTTACCGTCAAAATGCCGCACACCAAGAGCTGAGAACCCCGCAGCGCACACTTTGTGCGAGCCTGCACTGTCGAAATGCATATGGACATGTCAGAAGAGCAGTGTTTTGCGAGAATTTACAAGAAAAATGCCGCACCCCAAGAACGGGGCCCCCGTTTTGCTGCGCAGATCATATGCACATGGACATCTCACAAGAGCAATTGCATGCGAGAATTTACAGGAAAAAAAAAACGGGGCCCAAGATCGGGACAACCCCGGTACCCAGATTGTGTGCGAGCCTAGAGCAATTTTATGCGAGAATTTACAGGAAAAATGCCAGTGAGCAGAGAGCGTACCCTGATCTAACCCCGGCCTTAACCCTTACCGTCAGAACCCCTCAGTGTGGACACACTGTTTAGGGAAAGTTCCCCCCCGGATTCACCCGAACTGCTGGATTTCCCTCAAAATAGATGGTTTTCTGACAAAAAAAATGCCTTAAAAACCAGCAAAAGCATTTTGAACTGTGCTCATAGTTTAGTGAAAATACATTCCCAAGCATATTCAAGTTGGTGATACATCCCCATTATATCCCCATTCATTGGATGCTGACTTGTGGCCGATAAAAAAACTAGGGCCGAGACACAGGGCTTGACTGGTCCAAGCCCAGCTGTACCTGCATTTTGCTGTGAAAAGGCCGAAGCTCGAGCTGCTTGGCATCCTCCACTCGCGTCACAATGGCCTGGTGATCGATTTTGAGACGAACCCGCACAACCCTGGCTTCTGGTTGAATTTCACTAAATCATACATATTATGAATAAACACACACATATATATATATATATACGTATGTGTACATGATGTATGTATATATATATATATACTGTGTATATATATATATATATGTACGTATGTATGTCTGTATGTGTGTGTGTGTGCGCGTGTGTCTGTGTATCTGTGTGTGTTTGTGTATGTGTATCTGTAGATGTATGTGTACATGTATGCGTATATCTATGTGCACATGTATGTGTATATCTATGTGTAGATGTATGTGTACACGTATGTGTATATCTATGTGTACATCTATGTGTATATCTATGTGTATATGTATATGTATATGTATATCTATGTGTATATCTATGTGTATATCTATGTGTATATGTATGTGTATATCTATGTGTATATCTATGTGTATATGTATGTGTATATGTATGTGTATATCTATGTGTATATCTATGTGTATATGTATATGTATATCTATGTGTATATCTATGTGTATATCTATGTGTATATGTATGTGTATATCTATGTGTATATCTATGTGTATATGTATGTGTATATCGATGTGTATATCGATGTGTATATCTATATGTATATGTATGTGTATATCTATGTGTATATGTATGTGTATATGTATGTATGTATGTACGTATGTATGTATGTGTATGTATGTATGTATGTATGTATGTTATGGAGAGTATTCCATTCTTCATTGGTGACACCAAATTCGACTTTCCAGTCCGTCTCAGCTGTCTTGGCGACCTTCTTCTCTTCGATGATGGGCCGCACTTGCAGATCATGACTGGACAGGAGCTGCAAGGGTAGCACCATATGGGTGCGGTGGAAGCCTGCGATGTCCTAAGTGAACTCAGCAGGACCTGGAAACTGAGCAACATCTAGCTATGAAAACGGCGGAAAAACTCTTCAAAAGTGCAATTTATTGGGGAAAATGATGAAAAACCATGGTTTTTGTTAGGGGTACATAGACAGACCCATCTCATAACCATAATCATGGTCTATAAAGAGTAAATCACCCTCCAAAATAGTTAGGAATGACTATGAATAACTCTTCTACTTTGGGTGTTTTTCATTTTGAACAAGCCGAGGAATTGAGGACTCTTCACAATCCACAAAAAGAAAACACCAGACTCTATATATATATAATGTGAGTTTCACTGTTTCAAGCGTCATAGATTCCGGCTTATGCACAAAACCTATTCTCTGGGGGAAAACACCCCTCAGCTTGCAGAGTCACTGGCGGTGAAATCTACAGTTGTTAAATGTCATTCTGCCAATCACAACCATATATATATATATAACAATTCGATTTTGCCGTTAAACCTATTCACATCTCTGGTGGCAGATACTCTTCAACCCCTCCCTCGCCCCCACCCTTTCTTCAAGCTGCCGGACAAGCCAGGTGCAACGTACCCTGATCGATACGACTCACCACACATTCCATCCTCAGGTGAGGGACATGTTTCATCCTCAAACTGGGGTCGTCCTGGAAAAAACTTGTGCCAACCAGGCTTCTCAACTACCAACTACGATGCATATCCAAGTACCCGCATGAATCCCTAGACTGACCAGACTTGGAAGTTTCATCCGCAGCTTGCAGCTGGGCCTTTTGAGGAATTGCAAATTCATGGGTCCCTTGACCTGCAAAGGTATACTTACCATTTGGATGTTCCCTGAACTATAATCCATCCTTAAGTGGGTTTGTTCAAAAAAATGTCACTAAACCACAGTGAGATAATGAAGATAATCCCCCGGAGGGATATCCTCTTTTTAAACAAACCCAATGTGCCAAGCGGATTCCGTAAGACCCCAAACACACCAACAAATGCACCAGTACTGGGTTTGAAAATACAAACCCGCCGAATGGATGTTGGGCAATTTCCGCACATTAAAAAAAAAAAAACATCAAAGTTGGGGACTGGGGATACTGAATATATAGTTTTGGGGGCCCAAAATGATCCAGACATCTGCACGACATCCCGTTCCCCGGCATCACCAAGGCTCTGCTTTTCAGACTGCTGCAGTTCCCCGCAGAAGGAGAGGAAGGCGAAACGTGAACCTAACTGGCCGCAGGTCCCTGAAAGTTACCGAATTCCAGAGGGGCTAACCTCAAGCAACATCATTGCCACTATGTACCCCGGCGTAGTAGGTCTAGCCCATTCAAAACATTTGTCAGAACGGGTGCCGTATATGGCTGCGGTCCATCCTGCTGGCTTCATCACCAAGTCACTAGTTTGCTTGGCCAGCAAGGACATTTCCTTGACATGCAGCTGACAAGGAACACAAAAAACATGCGAGTCACTCAGCACTTGTTATGCGGTGGTTTTGGGTGGCTTGGAATGCTGGGGGTACGCTACAGTGACTGTTTGCCAGCTCCCCAACCATACCTAACAGGAAAGGGAGAGTCCATCTAGGTTATACCCCATTCCTCCCAAAATCGTCTAAAATCCCAGTTGCCAAAGAAACAAATGTGTGATTCACCACCCAGCACGCCAACCACCATGATGTATTGGGTGAGCCCTAAAAAGCTGCTAGATACCCTCCAGTATTCCACCCCGGCAATGGAAAATCTCAATCTCATTTTATGCTTTACTAGACTATTTCCAAAAGGGAGAAAGAAGCAGTCCCAGTCAGCCAAATGGGTGTGACTGAAAATACCCTTCAAACAGCCATTGGAATCATGTTTAATAGCAAGACGTATGATTGATCAGTGGATGTTCAAGCGGTTTTCCGAATTCTCCTCAGGTCCCAAGGTCCCAAACTTTAAAAAAAACAAGGTCCGTATGATCCAGTTCGCTCAAACCCCATGTTCCATTGGTTAAAAAGGCCCGAGCGTCGTTGAAGCTCTCCACATACTGTGCCATCTCCTCAAAGTCCAGCTCACAGGTGCCCAGCAGCAGATGTTGCCCTGCAGGTGTTCCCATTTCACCAACCAAGGTGAATAATAAAACCAAGCATAATTCATGGGGTTATCATGAAATACATATATATATAATCAACTTGATATAAGCATGAAAAATGGAGCTTTACCATGAAACCAACGAAGAGTGATCATGGATACATGGGTCTACGGTCTATCTGAAAATCGTGGATCCATTCCCCCGGAACCTCATGGTTCACCTTTCGGATCAAATGGAAACAAGCCATGCGTGAAATTCTGTGAAGGGAGCCAAAATATTGTCCACCAAAAGCAGTTAATATATAATATGATAATAATATGATAAGTATACATTAATATATAATATGATAATAATATGATAAGTATACAATAATATGTATATTATATATATATACATTATAAATATAATACATATATACAGTATACATATATCATATACATACACATCGACATACACAAAAAATCACAGCCGATGACGTGCCTAGGAGATCGATCCATCTCCTCATGGGAGAGGTCACCTGTCGAGTTTCGGACCCAGATTCACCGGAGATTTTTGTTTTTTTCGATAAATGGAGATAGAAACCCAAGATAATTTTCGATTTTGTTTTTTTGATTTTCTAGTAATTTAGTAACCCCCAAGTTGAGATAGAAAAGTCAAATCCGAAGCCAAGATCGTAGAAAATGTTGGTTTCTATTTTTTTGTGCTGTACTACAAATTTCCCAGAGTCAAGGTCAAACTGATGATTTCTGCAAGATTGACTGTGTTGCAAATATGGTGAGGTTCTATGAGGTTCTTTGTAGTCGGTGATGAAGTAAACCCAACGCCATAAACCATCCCCAATTAAGAATAACTAAAGTTTAAAGTTTATTGTTGGGTATACCGCTGTTTGGGATGATGTAGAATGACTACCACTCATCCCAAAAAGATGAACACCGTTCTTTCGTACTTGGCAATGAACTCCAAGGCCCTCCCCTACATCTCCAAAAATATTGAGTTTCCTAAGGCAGCCCCCTCAAGTTTGATGGCCAAATCATCACCATGTGTTGTCCTCAAAATGGTCGCTGAAACTCTTCACCCGCCCACCTGGAAGTAGTGCTGGCTTTGCTGCAGAATAGGCCACTGCGTGTCACCCGAAGACTTCACGCGGTACTGAGCGATAGGAACCTCTACGTTGCGACAACGAGGTGCGGAAGTTGTGGCACAAAATGAGGTCTTGAAAGACGAGGTACGGGTCGCCGAAACTTGGGAACTCCCATGTTTCTATCAAAATAATTCGATTGGGAACCCAGTGGCGAATGGTTGTGCACAAACCCTTAGCCAATGATACACACCATGAAATGAAGGGAGGGGGGAGATTGGGTTAAACATTGCGTGGAAATGGAAAAGAATATAGACTGTAAACACATGAAGATTGACAGAATTGGATGAGGGCGATGATGGTCTAAAAACCAGAATTTCGTATCATCATTGCCCCCAAAACTGGTTTTTGAATCCGTGAATCCGCAGAAATTGGTCAAACAAAGACCTCTCAATGTTGGACATTCAATGAATGCAATCGTGCATGTCTGTACGTACGTTATTTAAATACTTCTGTATGCAAATATAGAACTAGCAACATGATTCTATACATATATATATATATCCTATTTTTCTATCGGCCCTTTGAGAAATCTCGCGGCGCGCTTGCAAAAATGGACTGCTCAGCCAATATATATATATATTGTTCTATATATAGATAATATATATATATATCATATGAAATAATACAATAAAATAAAGGATAATATCATGCAATATAATAGATTATAATATAATGTAGGATAATATTGTTTAATAAACTAAAATTTGATACCATATGATTCCTGATAACAAAAAAAGTACTATAATGTGATACGATACAAGAACAAATATTTTAAGAAACAAAAAAATATAATGTAAAGTAAAATTACACCGGCATAGACCCCAGATAGAAAAGGTTGGAACTGATGGTTCCCAACGTGGGAACCAAAGGTTACCATGGCAATGAACTGCCAATTCCCAGACCTTGAAACTTACGGTTCCCAACCTGGGAACCAGAGGTTACCATTGCAAGGAATTGCCGGTTCCCAGAAGTTAGAATTTATGTTTTCGAAGCTAAGCAACTATCATTGTAAGGAACTGCAGATTCCCAAAGTTTGAAACTCATGGTTCCAAAGCTGAAAAAGCATACGTTACCAGTGGAAGGATCTGTTGATTTCAAAAAATAGAAATCATGGTTCTTAAGGTTGTTTTGTTTTGTTTACTGAGCCGGTAACAGAACCTTTTGTTTTGCTTAATGGACCGGTAGCGGAATCTTTGCGTTCGGCTGCTGGGCCGGCTTAAAAATGTTTTTGCACGAAAAAGGTGCATGTTAAAATGATATGAAAACAATTTCTTTACAACTTTATGGTTTTGCGTAATGGACCGGTAAAGAACGCTTTGTTTTGCTTAATGGACCGGTACCGGAATGTTTGCATTTGGTTCATGGCAAGGAACTGCCGGTTCCTAAAGGTTGGAACTGATGGTTCCCAACGTGGGAACCAAACGTTACCATGGCAAGGAACTGCCGGTTCCCAGACCTTGAATCTTACGGTTCCCAACCTGGGAACCAGAGGTTACCATTGCAAGAAACTGCCGGTTACCAGAGGTTGGAACTCATGCTTCCCAACCTGGGAACCATAGGTTACCATTGCAAGCAACTGCCGGTTCCCAGCGGTTGGAACTCATGCTTCCCAACCTGGGAACCATAGGTTACCATTGCAAAGAACTTCCAATTCCTAAAGGTTGGAACTGATGGTTCCCAACGTGGGAACCAAAGGTTACCATGGCAAGGAACTGCCGGTTCCCAGGCCTTGAGACTTATGGTTCCCAACCTGGGAACCAGAGGTTACTATTGCAAGGAATTGCCGGTTCCCAGAAGTTAGAATTTATGTTTTCGAAGCTAAGCGGCTATCATTGTAAGGAACTGCGGGTTCCCAAAGCTTGAAACTCATGGTTCCAAGCCTGAAAAGTAACGTTACCAGTGGAAGGGTCTGTTGATTGCAAAAAGTTAGACTCATGGTTCTTATGTTGTTTTGTTTTGTTTATTGAGCCGGTAACAGAACCTTTTGTTTTGCTTAATGGACCGGTAGCGGAATGTTTGCGTTTGGCTGTTGGACCGGCATAAAAATGTTTTTGCACGAAAAAGGTGCATGTCAAAATGATATGAAAGCAGTTTCTTTACAACTTTATGGTTTTGCTTAATGGACCGGTACAGAACGCTTTGTTTTGCTTAATGGACCGGTACCGGAATGTTTGCGTTTGGTTCATGGCAAGGAACTGCCGGTTCTCAAAGGTTGGAACTCCTGGTTCCCAACCTGGGAACCATGGGTTACCATTGCAAGCAACTGCCGGTTACCAGAGGTTGGAACTCATGCTTCCCAACCTGGGAACCATGGGTTACCATTGCAGGCAACTGCCGGTTACCAGAGGTTGGAACTCATGCTTCCCAACCTGGGAACCATAGGTTACCATTGCAAAGAACTTCC